CAAGCAACTACTTCAGCCCAAAACTCCTTTAGCATATTTTTTCTCTTCAACATACTTTGTGCCATGTTGAGAATAGTCCGGTTCTTTCTTTCCATGACGCCATTTTGTTGTGGTGATCTTGGAACAGTCAAAAAGTGACGAATTTCACTAGTTTTAGAAAAAACCTTGAATTCATTTGAAGTGAATTCTCCACTATTATCGGATCGCAACGACTTAACTTGATAGCTATTTTGTTTCTTCACCTTGATCTTGAATTTTTTGAAAGTATCAGACACCTCCGATTTCACCTTCAAAAAATACACCCAAATTTTTTTAGAAAAATCATCAATGAAAAGTAAAAATAATTACTTTTACCAAGTGAAGATGGATTGATTGGTGTGCACACATCCATGTGAATCAACTCCAATGGGTATCGGGCTCTAGTCAAAGACTTTTTAGGAAATCTTTTTCTTGCGTGCTTTCCAAAGAAACAACCTTCACAAAGTTGGATCGGATGATCAATAGTTGGCAATCCATTCATCATACTTTCTTTCTTCATCAATCTTAGACTATCAAAATTCACATGACCAAATCTCATATGTCAAAACCAAGATGAATCTTTGGCACATGAAAGCAAACACCTTGGAACATCACTTTGAAGGTTCAAAACAAATATTTTATTATTAGCCGTAGGAACTTTGGCTAATAATCTCCCATTTTCATCTTTCATGAACAACTTTTTATCTTTCAAATGAATATCATAATTTTTCTCCAAAGCTGTCCCAAACTTAAAATATTACTTTTCATCTCCGGTATATACAAAAGATTAGAAATTAATTGGTGACTACCATCTTTTAAGAGAATTAAAATCGTACTTTTTTTCTTTGATTTTAACCCACGAAGAGTCTCCAAAAGTGATGTTGCCACCATTCAATTCTTCAAGATCCACAAATAAATTCTTCTTTCCACAAATATTGCTACTTGCACTGGAGTCAAGATAACATTGACTTCTCTCTACACTTTCTTCTCCTTTGCAAGCGAGAAGTAAAGTGCCATCTCCATCTTCATTTTTGCTCTCCACAAGATTTTTTTTTCTTTCATATTATTTTTATATTCCCATAAAATATGACCTAATTTATGACAAGTATAACATTAAATATTAGACTTATCATTCCTTCCTTGATTTTTCCTCCATCATCTACCTCTTCCACGACCTCTCCTTGATTAGAGTCTCGGTTCCTATTTTCTTCATTTGGTGGTTGGATACCACTCTTCCTTTTTCACCACGACCTTGTTCACGTCCACGACCTCTTTGTTCCGAGCCACGTCTTTCATCCTTCTCCTTGAAAGAAAGTTTTGCTTGCAATGCTTGTTCAACCGATTTTTCTTTCTATTTCTTCAACTTTTTTTCATGTGCTTGCAAAGAACCTGTGAGTTCTTCAGTGGTTATGGTATCCAAATCTTTGGAATCTTCAATAGACACAACAATATAATTAAATTTTGAATCAAGGGATCATAGTATTTTTGCAATGACCCTATCATCACTCAAGTCTTCACCATATTTCTTCATTTGATTGTCAATAGCCAAAACGCTTGAAATATAATCTGAAACATATTCAGATTCATTCATATGAAATGATTCAAACTCTCCTCTTAAGTTTTGGAGACGAGCTCTTTTCACTTTATCCAAATCTTTAAAGGAAGTTTGAAAAATCTCACATGCTTGCTTTGAGATGGTTGCATTTGCAACATTCTCAAACATCTTGTCATCCAAACTTTGATAGATGAGAGCGAGTGCCTTTTGATCTTTCTTTTTAAAGGTAGTATCAGCTTCCGCTACACCACCTCCGACCTCCACCAGTTCTCAAACATCATAGGCACCAAGCAAAGCCTTCATCCTGATACCCCAATTTCCATAGTTCTTTTTTGTGAGCATAGAAACTTGAAATGGAGTTCCATTACTATTTGTCATTTTTTCTCCAAGTTTGGTTGTCTCTCAAATACACTGGCTTTGATACCACAATGTTAGAAAATTTGGGAAAGCAAGACAACACAAAAGAACACTCAAAACTCACAAAGAAGAAAGTGGAGGAAAGGATGATTTCTATTCAACTTGACTTGCCCCAAATGGCTAGGAATACATGACTATTTATAGAAAAAGTCCTACATGTATCTAGCCTAGAGTACATGTAAACACACTAATCATATCCACACTTCACATATTCTAAAGTACATAGATGACACCTCTAGACATTGTATCTTCTAATGCATATCAATGTGTTCATACTCTAATACATGTACTAACTTAATATTCTAGTTCATGAACTAATGTAGACAAATGTAAACAAATGAAAAATAAATTTATTATTTTCACATTTCAACAATCAGCTGTTAAAATAATATAGTTTGAATTTTGGTCTTGTTTTAAAAAAAAACAGAAAATAGGGTTGAAATCCATCTAGCATAACCTCAAACAAACTTGGCTTGAAACTTTTTCCCATTGTATTATAGATAGCTAATAAGGTTTGAATGAAAAACCTAAGTCAAATGAAGATTTCATCCAATTGAGAATGTTTTTATCGAAAAAATTCAAGCCGATTGCTCAAGCGATGATTACTTTATTAGTTATTTTAGTATTAGCCTTCTATCCCGAAACGAATGGATTGAATCAAAAAAATGCAAAAGTGCTAGGAATATAGGGTTGATCTTTTTTTTTCCTCCAACAAAACAGAGCATTTGCTATTATTGAAAAACGATATTTCTGCCTTCTTAAGGTAGGGGTAATGTCTGTGTACACACTACCTTTCCTAGATCCCACTCGTGATATTATTGTATGGGTCAAAATCTGATCAAAGAAATTCTACTTAAGGAAGAGCAACTAAGAAGCAACCAAGCCGAAGTCGAGTGTAGGAAGCGATATGCCGGCAAGTGATTTGGCTACGGTCGAGGTCGAGCACTCAATTCGGTTTGAATAGCCAGTTCATCACCCAGATATTCTAGAGGAATATTCCAAGAACTTAGGTACTCCGGTTAAGGACCGCTGGGTAAGGAAAGTGTTTGGTATAAATATCATGAGAAAGTGTGACACAAAGGGGGCAGCAGATACGCATACAACAAGAGAGACATCCCTAAAAAGAGGAGGAGGCTCCCGAAACCTGAGGCTCCTGATCGAAAAATGGAGATGAGAGCTTAGAATCTCGATATGCATCTTTAATTCTAGTTTATCAAACGGACAGAGGGCAGTCTTGTTTGAGTATGATGATTCTTTTCCTTTATGTATTCCTCATTATCATTTGATATTATTGGATTGGTCTTGTCATCCATCTTCACCACCAATCCATTGGTCCCGCAGTGATGAAGATGTATCATAGTACCCTGTAAAAACTGGGTGCGAAGAGGTAAAGCAAGTGTCTAAGAGAAATCCCTCGGCCAGCCAGTTCCGCGTACTTAGTGAGCATGAGGAAAAGTTTGTATATATATATGGGGAGAGCTGAGCCGGGCACACCCCGTAATAATGACAAAAGTATTCCACACCAATGACAAACGGGTACACGTAAAACGCGCAGTACCCCAGGCGATGTACCTGCACGACGTCTTTAGCCGCGGGAACGAGTTCAACGTGATCGGGAGTTCTCCACTTGGCCTTAAGCGCAACAAGTATCGCATCGTCCATTACGGAAACAACGGGCTCAGGATCGGCGTTAGGTAAATGCTTGAAATCAATCCTGGCTTTTCCCGAGCACGGAATTATCTCATCCACGGTGGGAAAGTTCTCATCTTCTACAATGGTTGTCCTTTCTTCATGGGATGACACATCCGTTTGCGGTGCAATGGTGTCAGCGACTCTATCGGAAGTAGAAGGTGCACTAGCCATGTTTCTTCGGTTATGCAGGCAATAGGATCTGGGGTGGAGGGAGTAACAATGGCAAGGAACTTCGAAAGAAAAAAGAATGAAAACATAAGAACCTGAGGAAGGAGGAAAGAGAAACCTGGAGTCTTTTGAATAATATGCTGAAAACGCAGCAACCCCAAATGAAGAATTCTCTCCCCTATTTATAAGAATACAAACATCCTAAGCGGGAAACCAAAAGCCACCACGTTAATTCCAAAGCAGAGGAGGCACGGGAAATGATGTAATGAATAAGGAATGTGCGCCATAATGACGCATGACAGGTTGACATCATTTCAAATTGACAGAACGGTCAGGTACGGCTCCCGAAGCATCACAACGTCATCTCGCTATGAAGGGTCACCCTTCAACCAATGTGCTCAGATTCCTCAAAAGATGCAACTGGCGACGTCCCACCGAGCTCGCCCAAAGGCGACCTCGATAGACGAAGGGACTAACTGTATAGGTCAAAATCTGGTCAAAGGAATTCTACTTAAGGAAGAGCAACCAAGAAGCAACCAAGCCGAAGTCGCGTGTAGGAAGCGATATGCCGACAAGTGATTTGGCTACGGTAGAGGTCGAGCACTCAATTCGGTCTGAACGGCCAGTTCATCACCCAGATATTCTAGAGGAATATTCTATGGGATATTCCAAGAACTTAGGTACTCCGGTTAAGGACCGCTGGATAAGGAAAGTGTTTGGTATAAATATCATAAGAAAGTGTGACACAAAGGGGCAGCAGATACGCATACAACAAGAGAGACATCCCTAAAAAGAGGAGGAGGCTCCCGAAACCTGAGGCTCCTGATCGAAAAAGGAGATGAGAGCTTAGAATCTCGATATGCATCTTTAATTCTAGTTTATCAAACGGACGGAGGGCAGTCTTGTTTGAGTATGATGATTCTTTTCCTTTATGTATTCCTCATTGTCATTTGATATTGTTGGAGCAATTATCTGTTTCTTACATCATGAGAGTCAATCGTTGTTGTAATCAAAACTTATGTTTAGTCGTGCTTGTTCATTCCTATCATTTATCTCAGATCTAGAATTAATTATCTTTGGTTAAAATTTGCCCCAAATCTTTTTATCGAATTGGTTTAACTAATAAGGCCTAATACTTTTTAGTCAAACAGTTATATTGCATTTGTTATTGTTATTACTATTGCAAGTTCTTTACTTTTGAACTAATACACCATATTGTGAATCTAAACTTCAAAAAAAAAAAAAGAATCTAAAACAGCTACTTTGAAGCATCAGGAACTGATGACGTCTCAGTTAGAAGAAACCCAATGGGCTGATCACGTCTCATAAATGGGCTGAAAGGAAACCCAATGGATCGATCAAGCTATTATCTCATCTAGTTTACACTCTCTATACTTGATTCTAGCTTCTTTGGATCCATCCTCATGAATTATGTCACAACATTCACATCTATCAATCTGGGGGAAAAAAACAAAGAAAAAGAGAAAATGAATAAAAATACAAATTTCAGAGTAGAGATTTTGTAATTTCTACACAAGTATATGTTAATGTACATTACTCATATGGTCAATCAACTATCTAAAATTATCTAGTAAAGTCATATTTCTTTCGTCTGTAACAGAAAAGTTACGTAACTAAATATGCTTATCGCATTCAAAAGGTCATTAAATCATATTTCTCAAACTTTTCATGGTCAAATATCTATTTTTATCCCCTAAATTATTAACTTTATCTTCTTCTTTTTTGATATTATAACTTTTTTCTCTTTTTAATCTATATTGTGGACATACTTATAGAACAAAATAGATCTTATATATAAAATAAAAATTAATTTTCAAGCATATATAATATAATAAAATAATAAAATATATTGAGCATAGTTTTCAAGGATGCTTGCCATTGTCCTTCAGGATCCCATTGACCATTGACAGATCAAGTTTTGACAACAGGGTCATTGGTCGTTTTTTTGTACTGTCAACGTATAAAGTTAAACTCAAATAGAATTCTATGGGAGATTATAGAAGTAAGAAAACATTACCTCAATACGTTTCGTTGCTGACGAATAAACATGAATTTCAGAAACATATTCTGCAGAATAATTTCCATTAGACAAACAAGCTCCTATTGCTCGAGGCCATGCTCTAGTATACATTGTATGAATTTCATTTCTTGGAGTTTTCTCGATAGAATTGAAGAAAAATAAATGAGGGGCTTCACAAGGATCCAAAGAAAAATTCCTAGTATCAAACATAAAACGTGGTGGATTAGGAGTTTCTCCCCAAGGTAAGAATGTTTCAATTGGATTTTGAATCCAACTTCTAGGCATAATTTTCTCATAAATATGAGCTGAATATCCCCAAGAAACTGAAAATGTCCAATTACTTGATCTTTTGTGGCATATGGTTTGTTGTAACATACGTGATTGATCATATTTTGCAGCATTTTGGAGGTGGAAAACTGATTGGGAACGATCCATTGAGGGAAAAATTGGTTCTACCATGTCTAAATGGTGAAGTGACATTAATAAAGATTTTGGATGGGATGATAAAAATCCTGTTAAATCACCATGTAGATCAATCTGCAAGTTAATATCCAAGTATATATATATAGTATTAGTAGCAAAGAAGAAAGAAGATTAATAAATGTAAATAATTGATAAAACATTTCTAGCCCAACTAAACGTAGACCCAAATTCGTGCTAGGTGGGGAGAAATTCAAAAATAGCCAGATTTATAAGTGCTTATTCAAAAATAGCCACGCTTTCAAAAGTAATCGAAATTTAGCCACTTTTCATGTAAAGATAAATCTGAGCGAAAACACTGTTCAAAACACGAAAAATACGCCAGTATATTATGCTGGAGTTCCAGCATAAGTATACTTGAACTCCAGCATATTATACTGGAGTTCCAGCATAAGTACACTAGAACTCCAGCATAATATACTAGAGTTCCAGCAAAGTATATCGGTCCAGTATAATATGCTGAAAGTTCACACACAAGTGCTCGAATCTCCAGTATATTATGCTGGAACTACCCGTGTGTTGGAGTTCCAGCATAATATGCTGGAAGTTCATACACAGGTGCACCGAACTCTAGTATATTATGCTGGACCGGTCTCTGTTGCAGCAAAATAGTGGTTATTTTTTAATGACTTGGCAAACGCTGGCTATTTTTGAATGACCAATCCGAAAAATGGCCAGCCCGTGCTATTTTTACTGTTAGGTGTATATATAAATTAGGGCTTGTTACACAAATAGCCGGCTAGATTCAATATTTACTTTTTCTAGGCGATATACATGGATTATACATTGATTATCCATATTTATACATATATTAAACATGAATAGTACATATATTATATATCTGGTGGCTATTTTTAGTTTAGGAATTAGGTGGCCATGGCTATTTGGGTTAATTCTTCTATAAATTAATGTCACTATATACAACAACAACAACAACAACAACTACCCAGTAAAATCCCACCAAGTGGGGTCTGGGGAGGGTAATGTGTACGCAGACCTTACCCCTACCCCGATAGGGCAAAGAGGCTATTTCCGATAGACTCTCGGCTCAAAAAGATGGAAAAATTAATGTCACTATATATATGTCAATATTGCACATAAAAAAATCTGCTTACGCCAGTGATAAAGCCCGTTAATAACATAAGGATAATCTGACATCCATTAATTCATGGCCGCATTTTCAGTAGGAATTTTTACACAAATAGCCTGTCATATTCACTATTTACTTTTTTTTGCCATATACATAGATTATACACATTTATACATATATAATACATAAATTATGCATATATTATACCTTCATTGGATATTTTTAGTTTAAGCGGTTGGGTAGGCGACTATTTGGATTAATTCTTCTTTTCAGTATGGAGCTGAATGTGCATGGGGTTTCCAAGAATAAAATGAGATCTCCTATTTTATCTATCGATAAGACACAACTATTTATTCTTGATTTATTGTTCAAGAGGAAGGAAAGAAACCAGCGTCCAATGGTGTTTACGAGAAAACTTACCTGATGAATACCCTGAAGAGGAGAAAGATTAACTCCAATATCAGCAATGCAAATCTTTGTAGTTCTATCAGCAGATTTCAAGTGAGAATATCTCTTTAGGCAAGACATAATATTTTTAGCAAATGCTCTAGCCATAGGATAACTCAAAATAATACCAGCTCCACCAAAAGCTTGATTAAATGAGAACAAATAATTCGACAATATAAATTCCGAGTGTCCTCCGATATAAAAGTACTTCGTATGATCATACTGTGCAAGAATATCAACCATATTATCCACGAAAAATATTGAGTCGTCGTCCCCCATAATTACCCATCTTACCCCTTCATGTTCCTCTCTAAATACCTCCATAATCCCATGAACCATTCTTAAAACTCTTGAATCAACATGTTTGGTTTCTTCAACTAGTTTTGGAACATTATCAGATATTTTATAAGGAGGTGAATTTATTGACCAAGGTAAAAGATCATCTTTAGGAGGAACATCTAGAAAAAGATATCCTCTTGTAATATTTGATCTCCACCAAGATTCAATATAGGGTTTTCTATTGTGCCATGCTTTTTCTGACCCTAAAATTCCAAAAACAAGATGACTAATATTTGTGGCATTGTTGGTTTTTGCATCATTTGATAATGTAGTTTGTGAATTAGGAGGAAAGGTTGTGAATTTAAAGGAAGAGAAAAGATAAGAAGATGGGCATTCAAAGTCATTGAAAAAGATAATGGTGCCCATGTATAGGACTAAACCACAAATTAACACTGTTTTGCAAATGCTAATCATAATATATGTTTCAAATCTAGATATGTTTGAGAGATTGGATAGTGAGAAGAATGGAAACAAGTGAACCAATGGTCATTTGATTCTTATACTCCAATATGAGTTATTTTCTTTTCAAGGTTTTAGGCAAAAGACGTAGCCCCCCCCCCCCCCCAAAAAAAAAAAAAAAAAAACCCTACCCCCACCCAGGGACGGAGCTAGAGTGTCCGGAGCAGGTTCGGCCGAACCCAATAGCTTTGATAACCCTATATTTATCTTAAGAAATCCATTAAATATGCATAAATTATTAATTTAGAACCCACTAACTTAAAAAGATTAGAATCTCGAACACATAAGCATAAAATTCTGGCTCCGCCTCTCTCACCCCAACAACATCACAGAGCTTTTTTCTGTTAGGAAGTTAACAATGATATGCCTTACCATCAAAAGTCTCTGGTGAAGTAATACATATTTCTTCATTCTCAATCATATATTTGAGTTCGAGCGGTGAAAATGAAATTATTTTTTGTAGGACTTTTCAACACGAATTTGGATTAGTAGGACCTCAAATTGGTTACTGAATAACTAGTGAAAAACAAAAGGAAAAATATTGTCTTAGCATAATTTGACACATATTTTAATGTCATTCTTAAACACGTTTTGACTTTCCAAACCCAAACTTTCGTATATTCAATCCCTAACATTTTTAGTATTTGCCACAGGATTTAATATAATTATTTACATTAATGTATATCAATATAATTTAACTTGTTACTGCATGTAACATTTTTAAAACATATTCTTCAGATAACTAGCTCCATTTATTATGGATAGTTCCCTATAGTTATCTTCTATTTTTCAGATAATTAGTTAAACAATTTTACAGTCTTCAACTATATATCAAAACTTTTCATTTCTCTATAGATCTAGACCTTTTGAAAAGGACGAAGTTCCTAATTCCATGTGAGCTATACTTTGAGATCTCTGCATAGGCATTAATTATATTGTATTTCGAGAATAGCTAGCTATTTTTTATTGTGCACGAGGAGATACATTTAAGATTTTTTTTTTTTTTTTTTTTTTTTTGATAAACTGGACATGTATTTCATAGGAATAGAACTAGAGGTTACAAACAGTTCGATCCTGGGGATCATTACTAGAAGTTGATAATCCATGCATGGCATGCTGATTACCAATTCTTGCTAGATTGCTACAAGTAGCAACTGAGATAGACTTTACATAAATATGTCTACCCTCGTACGCCAGCATCCTGGCCATGACAAAGGGTGGAGGATAATACAAAAGCTCTACATTATTGAGGGTAGTAAGAGATTTTGCATGCTTTGCCAAGAGGTGGGCTACTTCATTTCTTTGCCTGAAGTTATGTTGCATCACCACCATGCCCATTTGGGATAGAAGCAACCTGCATGAGTAGATAATAGAGTCATAAGTTATGCATCCCTCTTTGATAAATTAATTTCATAGTGAATTCTAAGGTCCAATCTCCCTTTTGATTCCTAAAAACACCTCCTAGGCCGCCAGTAGCATCATTTCTAGACTCCACCGAAAATCAAATCTCACATATTCACACACATCCAGAAAACCTACATACTCAAACCATGATACTCGATTGTCCAACACAAGATTTAACTGGATCAGGTATGTGCACACAAGAAGTACACAATATCAGTGAAAATCTAAGAGTCACCCTATCAGTTGATGATATCCAGAGGATTTACCAACCTTGAAAATATTCCCTCATAATTAAGCTCATGGGCATATACTCCACCAATACCTCAAAAGAAAAATACATCAATTGTGGAAGCCTACTGAAAACTATAATCTCATTGACCTTGAAGCAGACTATTTTATTGTGAAATATAATAAAGAGGATAATATGTCAAGAGCACTGAATAATGGTCCTTGGTTCATTAATGACTTCTTTCAATCTGTACAAAAATGGGAACCTCAGTTTGTAGCCAATGAAGCCAAACAACTAATATCAGTTGTATGGATACGTCTACCTCAAGTTCCAACAGAATTTTACGACTCCATTATACTACAAAAAATTGGTAACAAAATTGGAAAACTACTTGGAATTGATGCATGTACATCATCAACTCTAAGAGGACGATGTGTGTGGAAGTTCCTATGGACATACCAGTTAAACCTTTTGTTTATATTGGCAACTACAAATAACAAATTCACTACGAAGGGGAGAATTTCTTATGTAAAAATTGTGGTAGATTAGGCCATAGCCAAACCAAGTGCCAATTTGTTAATTTGCACTCTACAAATTCCAATAGGCAGCAAGAAGGTCAAGACACAACTACACGGCATATTGGTCAAGGTGATTGGATAACAGTTTCATTTTCCAAGAACAAGTCTACCAGTACACAAACAAATTCACCACCAAAGCTAGTAACTCCAGGTATAATGGCAAATTTTTTTATGCTGACACAGGTAAGTTTCTTAATACTCAAAAATGTGGAAAACGAGTCTTTAATTGCATCGAACCCTAACAATAGAATCAGGCAATCTACTGGGAATGGTGTTAATTCTTATCCCAAACATGTGATTCAATCCACCAATCAATTTGATACTCTAGAAACTATGCCCATCCACAAAATATTTCAACCAACGCATGCAAATGGATAACAACACCTCTAACTCTAGCTCTCTACACGTGAAAGGGGAAGGGGGAACTTTGGTTACTCCACCCCAATCATTAAAAATAAATTCCACTAAAGACAAAAATATAGTTAACTCTTTCACACAAACTACCCCTAGGCAGTCCATCGTTCCGCTGACCCTAATACATTCACAATACACTTGGTATTGCGTGCAAAAGAAGACTGCCAAATGGTAGAAAATGTAGAACACTTGGCATCAAACAAATCCACCCAAAGTTTTATTAAAAACCCACACGCCATTCCAAACATCATCCGGGCATAAGGCGGCTACAATAGGACTTATTAACCCTATAATGGTACCTCCTCCTAATACTACTAGTAAAGAAAATAGTACTATAGAAAACCCACTAAAGAAGAAAATGCCAAGGCTTCCATTCACGGCACGGAGGAGGTTCAGGTTAGTTCATGTTCCTCACCAACAAAGGATTACAAACATGGATAACTTGCCACCACTGCCTCCTATTGGCATCACCCTTATTTGGGCCAATTTATCCGTGACCTAATCTTCCAATAGTCTTCTTCTAATTTTAAGATATTGTTGTAGTCCTTGATGAGAAATTCCACTAAGTTTTGTAGTAAAGAACTTTGGCTATAGTGTGGGGTATTTTGAATACCTTTTAATCTAGCCAGTAACTTTTGCTTATTTCTAAAAATACTTCCAAAATGAGTTGTTTGGATCAACAGCATTCTCCCCCTACTGGATGTTGATCCGGGTACAAGTTTTGTTCTTGAACATTGGCTTGGACATTGGGTTCCAAGTTGACTGGATTTTGGTTTGGTTAATTGACTTGTTCTTTGTCACGACCCCAACCCCGGTCGTGATGGCGCCCAACACACTGTTAGGCAAGCCCGATCATTTAGACAACCTTAACCAATTAATCACAGTGCATGAATAAATTAACATAGCTGAATTACTAAGTCAAATGCTGAAATCCTGAAATAGATTCAAATATACGGAAAATCCAAAATATAAAATGACTACACAGCCCGTAGAATCCGGTATCACAAGTCTGAGCCTCTAATACATGAGTATCAACCTACTACATATCGTCCTCTAGAAACGCGGAAACAAAATAAATAAGATAGAAGGAAGATCAGGACTGCGAACGTCAAATGCAGCTACCTTGAAACTCCCAAATGTGATGCTAGGCAGAGAAGTCCTCACTCAGCCTCAGTAGTACCTGGATCTGCACGCAAGGTGCAGGGAGTAATGTGAGTACTCCGACCCAGTGAGTAATAAACATAAATAAAGACTGAGAATAAGAAATCCTGAATAGGCACAAAGTAATTCTATAAATACAGCAACTTGAACCCAGTAGCATAAAATCAATAAAACAGTAAAAACAATTATAGAAATATCACAGCAGATAAAGGAATAAATGACAATTAAGAATATGCAATGCAACACATAGACCGGTACTCTCCAGTACCCGCTGCGGCGTGCAGCCCGCTCCATTTGTTTATCGTTGACGGCGCTCACTGGGGGTGTGCAGACTCCGGGAGGGGCCCCATACGGCCCAAGCGCAATAATAAGCCATCTGGTGGCATCAACTAGGCCCTCGGCCTCATATCAATATCAATATTATATCACTGCGACGCACAGCCCGATCCCATACTCAGTCCAAAATCACATAAGCCTCTCGGGCACATTAATATAGAAATATTTAGCCCAAACTTCATTTAAAAATATTAATTAAGTTTCTAGTTTGAGAAAAAGTGGTTGAGGTTGCAAAACAGTATTAAATACTAGGACTGAGTTCAATTATCTGTAAATATGGTAAGAAACTAGTAAAAACAATCCCTGAAGGATTCAAGCAGTTGACACGAAGCCCAATTATGATAATTAATCCATTTTTATATCTACTAAGCTTCAATCAATTAGGTAGTAATTTTATTAAGCGGGACGGACCAAGTCACGATCCCCGACGGTGCTCTACCCCACGCCCGTTATCCGGCGTGCAAGTCACCTCAACATAGCACTACAATGTGCAAATTCGGGGTTTCAAACCCTCAGAGCAGCATTTACATCTATTACTCACCTCAAGCTGGCCAAAGTCCTAGCTCGCTATGCCCTTGCCTCTCAAATCGACCTCCTCATGCGTCGAATCTGATCAAAACCACAACGAATACGTCACAATATACCAATGGAACAATACCCCATTGAAAACAATCGAAAAATAGCAAAAATCTCGAAATTAGCAAAACCCGAGCCCCGGGCCCACTTCTCGAAAATCAAAAAATTTACCATCAACGGATTCCTTATCTCGCCACGAGTCTATACATATAAATAACACCAAAATCAGAGTCCAAATGACCCCTCAAATCCCCATTTTAGCTCTCTTAAGTTTCAAGCCCTAATCACCATTTTTGTCTATTAATTCCTTGA